CACTCAAAGCAATGCAATAGCCCAGTGAGTGAGTGAGTGAGTGAGTGAGTGAGTGAGTAAGTAAGTAAGTGAGTAAGTAAGTAAATGGCATGCTCATAACTAACTACTCACCAACTCTAACCCTACATGTGACACTCAGAGCTATATTCCATGGTGCACTCTGGTCACAGAGTGCTGTCCTCTGAAGATGCCGGCCACAGAGACTGGCATAACGTTAGGAAGAACAACCTTCAGAACACAACCAAGGACCCGAAAAACCCACAACAACTATTATGCATAAATGGCTGTTGAAAATTCTTCACTCTCTTTGTGGGAAGATAAAATTGGGGGTGGGTACAAGTTTCCCAAATTTATCCTGGGGGAAAGAAGAGACTCTTCAACAATTTCTCAAAGATGGGGCACACCATTAGCAAGGACTGTAGTACAGCTCTGTTCTTTCTCCCCCAAAACATTTTTTCTTTTTTTTGCACTTTTCACCAGAACTAGAAACAGTAAGAACTGTGCTGGCAGGCTAGTCACCATTTTGATTCCTTCACAATGCTCTCTATATAATACCATTCTATGATATTGTGGAGGAAATGGTGAGAAGAAATAACTACCCCCTCAAAGGATTGAGAAATTGATTGGAATTATTTCAGAAAATAATTCTGTCCACTTTTTCCAGAGGATTAAGGGGGGGGAACCTTCTGAGAAACTTTAGCTAGCATTCAGCGTTTTCATGCTTCAGTATGCGCTAAAATTCTGATTTTTATGGGTCACTATACATACATTTTGTTTGTACTGCAGATGCTTATAATACAGCTCCTTCCCTTTATACCCTGTACTTAGGAGGAGTTGTGCTCTACCCAACTCCAGGAAAAAAGGGAAGCTATGTATTGTTCCATAATTTGCCCTCCAGCCCTCCAGTTTTCCTAAATATATATTTCCCCATGAAAGAGATTTCCATTTTTCTATCTCAGGGTGCAACTACACATTCAGAGACATGTGAATGCATTCACTATGAAGTCACATCAGGGAATTCAGGTTTACCCAGGTATGTTGGTGTTAACTGGCTGCAGAAGAGAAAAGAAACTTCCTAAATAGCTTTGCTTGCATCTTGTTAGTCAGACTGCTTGTTGTCCTGCAGGAGCAATGATTACATAAGTCATAAACCAATTTGGTCAATTTCCTCCTTTTGTTTCTCCTTCTCTATTTCTTTCCGTCTTCTGACTACTAAACGAGTGTGCCAAAAAGGTGCAGAACAGTTCTTGAAGGGGAAGAATGGTTCAATCTAAGTATAAACACAAGTAGACTTTTTTTAAAAAAAAATCCAAATCATGTCCTTAGCGATCCATATACCATACAGTATTTATATGCCAGTGTGGAAAGGTTGGTAGTTGCATTCAGTGGGCATCCTTCAGTCTCAAGAGACAATTGTAACATGCTCTGAATAGAGGTCTTGGAACAGTGTCTAGTGTGGCTGACAAGGCCAATTCGAGAGTGACAATCCCTTCCACACGGAAGAAAAGTACAATCTGTCCCCTGTCCAGCTCCCTGATTTTGCTGGTTTTGGGACTGCCTCTTTGCCTCAGACTGCTGAACAAGTGTCTCTTCAAATGGGGAGAGGCCATGCTGCACTGCCTGCTTCCAGGCTGAACACTCAGATGTTGAGATCCATTCCTAAGGCCTTCAGATCCCACTTGCAGATCTCCTTGTATCACAGCTGTGGTCTCCCTCTGGGGCGCTTTCCCTGGACTAACTCTTCGTACAGGTGATATTTTGGAATCCGACCGTCAAACATTATCATGACATGCCCAAGCCAACATAGATGTTACTGTTTCAGTACAGTCACATTATGTATCAGTCATATACACTCTGAAATTGTCTTTAATCGCAAGTAATTTGTGTTTAATCAGCATTAATGTACCACTGCTGATGGTTTCCAGTGCACATGCAGAGCAGCCCAACAGGATTTCAGCCTTTGATTACAACACACACTGGTGTTGAGAAAATAAAGGATCAATTAAAAGCTGTCTGCAAGACCAACTGGAACTCCGAAGGAACCATTTTCAAAGTACTGTATAACCGAGTTCAGTATTTAAACTAGGAAATAAATACTATCTCCAAATTTATGTTTCAAGCTGTTATTGGTTTTGGAGATCTTTCAGGACAAGCAAGCTTTCAAAAATATTTATAGTTAGCAGCTAGAGAGAAAAAAATATCTTGTAGTTGAAGCTCATCTGACAGAAGGTTATGTTGCTTACAATTGGACAATCCTAAAATCCTATTAGAGGGTCCAACTGGGACAAACAAAATACTTTTGGAAATACTTACCTGATTTACTAAATTTATATTTTGCTTCTATCCAGTTAGATCAAGGTAGCTCTCTTTGCCAAATTATCATCAGAAAACCCAGTGTGCGAGATGTCCCAGGATAAGCCTGTGATTTTAATGGCTGAATGAGGGTCTTGAATGTAAACCTTCTATATCCCAGGTCCAAGACTTTGACCCTCCATCTATATCCTTCCTGTTGTTTCAGCATTTCCTAATTTTTGTTGTTTTAAATAAGAGAAACACCGTAAGATGGAAAAGAGAAAATAATCATTTTTATTGGTTTGTACAAGAAGCCATCTGCCCATGACTACCCCACATTTTACTGAACATCCTTGGCAATGCACTGGTGTGATGCCTCTGGGGCTGACAAAGGACACACCAACACAGAGGACAACCAAGTCCTGGGTTGGTTGAGCTAGCATATTTGCAGCACAGGAGTGCAAAGTGAAAAAAGTTTAACTCAGAGACTCATTGTGAGCGCGTTTTGCACAATTCATTTAGAATCTGATTGCTGTATTTGCTCAGACAATGCCAATTCAGGGTAAAGAAGGACTAAACTCATTATTATTTTTAAAAAATTATAAATAATAATAGCAACACTAGATTTTCTTTCTGCTTATTTATCTTGCTGAAACCATCTTGATTACCTTGGTAAGAACTAGTAAACTGTTGTATATAAACTGTATCACTTAGGATATACTGTGCATCCCATGTGACAATAGTGCACAGTATGTTGTCGTTACATGCCTTCAAATTACCTGACTTATGGTGTCCCTATGAATGAGAGATCTCCAAAACGTCCTGTCCACAACAGCCCTGCTGAGCTCTTATAAATTCAAGCTTGTGGGTTCCTTTAGGGTAGCAATGGCAAACCTATGGCATGAGTGCCACAGCTGGCATGCAGAGCCCTTTCTGTGGGCACGTGAGCCATAAGTCGCTCGATCACTAGCCGCCCCTCCCCGCAGCCAAACCCCAGGAGGCAGCTGCAGCCACAGTGCTGGTGCTTCGACAGGCGGTGGGCCAGGATCCGGAGGGGAGTCTCAAGGCACCTCCGTGCCTGGGATTCCCCCTACTGCCGCCACTTCCAGTTCCGCCGCCACTGCAGCCGGTCGGTTTGTTAGTGTTTTTTTTTTCAGTTTGGGCACTCAGGCCAAAAAAGTTTCGCCGCCACTGCGTTAGGGAATCAATCCATGTTGTATTTGGTCTTCCTTGTTTCCTAAGGCCTTCCACCTTTCCCAGCACTGTTGTCTTTTCCAGAGAATCATGCTTTCTCCATGGTTCACCCAAAGTATGACAGTTTAATCATTTTTGCCTCTGGAGATAGTTCATGCATTCAGAGCTAGATCATATGTATACATACATAAATACATATACATATGTATACATGAATCCATTTTACTTGGTAAAGCTGCCTGTTCTTTTGACACAACTTTCTCTTTCTCCAGCCTGTTCCTCTCTTTGTTTTATCTCCCACTTCCCTTGCAGGTGCATTTCTCTTACTCCTGTTTGATCTGTACCCCATAACATTTGCCGTTCCTGAACAACCACAAGATCATCCTGTTACTCCTCCTCTTTCTGGCTAGACCGTCATCTCCCTTTCCCACTCCTACCACTTTGCAAGCCCTTTACATCCTGTTCTCCCCACTTTCTTTTGTGACTCTTTACTGCTAATTTCTCTGCACGCTGCAACCCACTTTGTAACCAACCCCTTTTCCATCTTCAAGAGCACAAAAGTGTTTCTGTGTATTCTCAAACCAACTATGCTAGACGTATCTGAGTCCAGGCTACAAAGGAATTATTCCTGCAGGTAGGGGAAGAGATTTCCATCCCTTTCCTCATTCTTAAATAGTTTTCAACCAAGTGGTACGTTAGTACAGAATTGGGAATCCACATGCATGTGCAGTTGGTTTGGAATATTTATTTCATGCTATAGAGCCCTGAAACCTTGCAAGTAAATGGGCAAGCAATAGTTTTGAGAAGAGTAAAATCCTAGGGTAACTGTGATTCCTTATTGCATGTAGTGAAAACAGAGCAAGATTTAACATGTGGCAGGGCACTGCTCATAAAAAAGAAAACTGATTTTATGGCCTTTGATCACTCCTGTTCCTTCAACCGTTCCAATGCAGTTTTCCCATAAATCCTACGGACCGTAATTAAGGACTCTCTCCAAAGCAACGCTGTTCGGGTTTATACTCTCCGGAGAAGAGTATAAACGCCGCCTTACTTCAGCCTTAAATGTCTTTGACTTAAAGTGTCTCTTTATTTCCACAGAACACACTGCAAGGCGAATCGGGCAGCTCCTGAGCCCGATCTTACACGCAGTCAGCCATTCACCCAACTTCCAGAGGGCCTTCCTCTTCCCAGAGAGAGCGGTGCGGGGAGAGGACAAGCGCCCAGGGAGGACAAGCGCCCACGACCTGGGACCCCCTTCCCCGCGGACGCAGCCGGCAGGGACGCCGCCGCCACGGCTTCTGGCCATGCGAGGCTGACAAGCAGCCATTTGGCGGCCGGGAAATTGGGGGGAACCTCGAGGCTGGGCGGAGCAGTCACCTGGGGCTCCAGGGCGCCGCCAGGGCGGGTACAATGGCAGCCCGCCCAGCCGCGCATGGCTCGGGGAGGGGGTGCCTGAAGGAGAACTGGCGGCTAGCTGGGCGTGAGGGTCAGGCTGGCCGGGAGGGAAGGAGGGAGGGAGGGAACAAGCTTCCCCCTGGCCCTCCTCCCGCCCTCCTCCTCCTCCTGCACAGAGTGGTTGGGCCTGGGCCGGGCTCCGGCCGAGAGGCGGAGGCGCTGGAGAGAGCCCCCCCAAACTTTTGAGGAGCGGCCGTCACGCCTGGGAAATGTGGCTGTTGCTGGGGCTGCTGCTGGGCTCTGCGGGTGAGTGGCCAGGCCGGGAGAACGGAGGGACAGGAACGGAGGGCACGAGACGAGGGGCCGGCGGGGGTGGCGAGCGGGAAAGAGGGTCTTGCTCGGGCGCTGGGAAGAGAGGTCGAGGAGAGGGGGCGAAACGAGCCTTGCAGGGGTGGCGAGAGAAGGAAAGTCACCCACGGCACACACGTTGGGACGGGCCTCGCCTGCTTCGGGCTGGAAGGAGCCTGTGGCGGCACCGGTGGCGCACGCCCCCCTCCGCTTCAGGGAAGGGAGAGGAGGCGGAGGCACGGGCTTGGCGCTCCAGAAGCGAGAGTTTGGGGTCTTTAGAGGGGGAGCAGCATACTCCCTAGTTCGTAAGATGGGGGGGAGGAGATCCTCCTACAACGCTGAGTTCCCTTTGTTTTGGGTCTCGGCTGAGGCGGCCCCGTTGATTTGTTGCACTTCTCTAGTACTTGCCCTAAGCGCCTCTCTCTCTCTCTTTCTGTGTGTTTGTGTGTTGCGTTAATCACCCTCCTCTCCCGGGCTGAGACACAGGCTGGTCAAAGAGCTGGTCAGGCTCTGTGGCAGCGGGTTGGCATTTGCCGCCTCTGCCCCTTCCGAAGCGTTATTATTAGGTCGTGGGGGCCGCTCATGGAGCGTTTCGAAAAGTGGTTCACAGTTTCTGTCGCTTCGCACAGCCCAGTTGTTGATTTGTTTTGACAAACGCTCACCCCTGTAGTGGGGGAAAGGGAGAGCTTTTTGCAGGGGACATTTTATACGGGCTTGCAAAATAATCCTTCTCCCCCCCCCCTCCCTGCCCCTGAAGCATTCCCGAGTAGGAAGTGAGTCCACCCACCCCACCCCTTTGGCCGTGAAAAAGCCCACGTGGGGCTAAATTCAACCCTAGTTCCTTTTTTGTGTGTCAGCCTTCTTCACCTCTTGGCCTGTGGTGTAAACACAGCTGTACACACTTTTCTTTAGGTGGTAATCCTGTTTTGTTTTTATAGAAATAGACACAGGATCTTTTGCTGTTGAAGTGTGTCAGTTTTGGTGTCTGTGGTGATGTTGGTAATTTGCTTTTCCATGGGGTTTTAGCTGTAATTTTCATTTCTGTAGGTGTGTGTTGCTGGAGAGACTTGAAAGGCCAGGCCACCAGAGTATCAGTCAGTCTGATAATGTGAAGAGTTTTTGTTTTAGGTTATTTCATCCCTCCTAGTCCTCTTTCACATGCAACTGACAAGAAAAGTGTCTTGCTTGGTAGAGAGGGCATGCTTATTCATAAAAAGTAGTCAGTAAACTTAACTTTTTTGGAGATACTTTTTATCAATAAAACCTTTTTTTGGTAAAAATGCAGGAGTAATCAACTCTGAAAAGAAAATACAGGACGAGTCAAAGGTCATGTTTTCTGCCAATTTCAAACTCACCTGTCAACAAGTATAAGATATTTGGAGAGCATCAACCCTTAAGTAGACATTTTATCAGTGCTGAATAAAATCTCTTTACATTTTGAAACTGAAGTGCATTGGAAGACCTTCAAAATCAGGGTTCTTGTCTACAATTTTGTGCGCCATCCACGAAGGAGGTGTACTTAGCCTGAAGAAGTGGATTCAATCTACAAAAGCTTCCTATTTGTTTAGTTTCTCAGTGGTTCAATAAAAGTGGTTTACATTTGTGTAAATTGAAGTCATGCATATGTTCAGTAAGACTTTTTCATATTAGCATGAACCCTATTGTGAATTTATACTGGCATATGTTTAACTGTATAAATTATACAAATTGCAACCAATTAATGAGCTGCCACATGTTTTCCTTGTCACATGACAAGTTATACGTCTGGCATATGATTAAGAATAGGAGCAACAATTAGTTAATGACTGGTAATTAACCACTACAGTTTTACTTAAGTTAGTATAAAATTCCCAATGTGAATTTGGCATATATGGAAATGCTGAAAAAGCCATTGCCATTGCTCACGTGACAGAGTATAATGACTGACATAGTGGCTGGAATCCTGTTCCTGATTTATACTTACTTATGTAAAAGAAATAACATAATCCTTGCCGGCAAATTGCTGCTCATTAACAATATGGCAGTAAAAACATATGTAATGTGATTCTAGCCAGTATAGCATCTTCTCATGTTTATACTTTTGTTCACCATTGGAATACATCAAATGGATGGGAGATTCATGTGCAGAACTGCAAACCATATGGGTCACACTGCAGTGGCATTTAGAATTTTACAGGTTCTCTTTATGTGCACATTATAAAAAATAAGCAATAATTCTGGGAGTGGCTAGTAAAACTTCTTATGGCAGGAAGTTTCTTTCCCTTCATCTTTACTAAAGCTCAGTGATTTGTCTCCTCTCCATAATTTTGCTTGAGAATATGGTTGTATAATAGTGGTGCTGTTGCTACAAAAAGATAGCCTGTTTCCCTGAAAATAAGACCTAACCTGAAAATAAGGCCTAGTATGATTTTTCAGAATCCTTGTAATAGAAGCCCTACCCCAAAAATAAGCCCCAGTTAAGTGAAGCCTTGTCTTCCACCATTGTGCAGCATTGTGCAACAACCAGAAGGTGACAGGACTATTAGAATAAATATAGATTGTTGTACATGGAAAAAAAAATCACCTGATAATAAGCCCTAATGCATTTTTGGAGCAAAAATCAATATAAGACCCTGTCTTAGTATATAGATGATACTGGTATAAGTTGCTGTGGGTGTGCAGACCATCCTGTAGTAGCAACTTTGTGATTAAAAAGACCAATGTGGAATTCATATGGGGTTTAGTGTGCTGCATCATAACATATATTGGTTCTTAATTTCAGATACGATGCCAGGTTGATGTCTTGTTTTATTATTTTAGAAAACTCTGAAATGTTTATTTTAATAGTAGTAGTTATTGTTTATTTTAAGTGCAGCCTAAATAAAAAAACAGATTTTGTTGACTTTTTCAAAAAGGCAGTTGACTTTCTGGTGAATATATATATTGGCTGAAATCTGTTCAACGTGGCAAAAAGTTACACTTGTGGAACTATGCTAGGTATTATTATGCTAGGTATTACGTCGTTGGTTGCATCAGTTACACAATCAATCACACTTCCCATCATGACTTGTTACAAACCCTGTTTCCCTGAAAATAAGAAAATAACCTGAAAATAAGCCCTAGCATCATTTTTCAGCATGATCATAATATAAGCCCTACCCTGAAAATAAGCCCCTGTTAAGTGAAACCCCACCCTCTACCATTGTGCAGCAACCAGAAGAACACATGACTGTATTTGAATAAATGTAGATACATGAAAATAAGCCCTAATGCGTTTTTCTCTCTCTTTTTTGGAGCAACAATTAATATAAGACCCTGTCTTATTTTCAGGGAAACACGGCAGCATGCATGTGAAGATACTTCATGAATACCTTTTCTGTACGGCCTCAATATTCCATACTGCTTTTGTATCTTTGTGTTGTAAAAACTGTTTTACCAATTTATATATTTATTAATTACATTTATACCCCGCCCATTTAGACTACGTCTATTCTGGGCAACTTACAATAAAAATAGTCAAAGCAATATAATAAGTTAAAATGACCATTTAAAACAGCAATAATGGTGTCATTCAAGATGGAAAACAAAAATCAAGTGGGGACGGGAGGGGAGGCCTGCCTAAAGAGCTGGTCTTAAGTTGACTCTAAAAACACCGAGTGAGGGAGCCAGGCAGATCTCGGAGGGGAGACTGTTCCAAAGGCGAGGGGCACTGCTGAGAACTCCCGCCCATCTTGACTAGAGCAAGTGATTCAGGTAGATCTAGGTGGGAGGAGGCGTTCCACTATATATCAAGGTCCTAAACCGTTTAGGGCTTTATATGTCATCATTAATACTTTGAAATCAATGCGGAAATGAACGGGCAGCCAATGCAAAGCAGCCAGAGCGGGGGAAATATGTTGAGGTTTTCTTGTCCCACTAAGAAGTCTGGCCGCCGTATTCTGCACCATTTGAAGCCTTAGCATCAATCTCAAAGGTAGCCCCACGTAAAGCGCATTGCAGTGGTCTAATCTTGAGATTACAAGCACATGGACCAAAGTGGTGTTTGCCCCAACATCAAAATAGGGACACAGCTGGGCAATCCGCCACAGATGGAAGTAGGTGGAGCGGACCACTGATGCCACCTGGGTTTCCATGGCGAGCGCCGGATCCAGATGAACTCCCAAACTGCAAACCTCACTCTTCGCGGTGAGAGTCACACCCCCCGCAAAAGAGAGGGAGTTTCCCAAACCACTTTTTAAATAAACAAGGTTATTTTCTTAAGAAGGTTTTACATTTATACATTAAGAAAATAAACTTTATTTAAATAAACATTTATTTTTTAAGAAAATAAACTTGTTTGTAGATTACAATTTTTGCTTATTCCCTGATAAATAGTAGTCACAAGCAATCATTCACATGTAAATTGTTCATCAGTGCTATGATACATAGTTTGTGTAATGTCACCACAGTAGACAAAGCTGTGTGTTTCACCAGTACTGCTTTTTTTTAAAGGCAGTGTGAAGTCAGTCCTTTGTTGTGACTTTGTTTTACCAGCAGTGTGAAATAGAACACTATCTGTTTGCTTGGATTGGTGTCAGGCGTTCTCCAAGAGAAGAAGTTCTTGTTCACAGGTTTAAATGGCAATTTAAAGCTTAATGTGATTTGATGGTGGTGGTTTGACAGGTAGCACATACAGGCAGGGAGGGTGTGAGCATCTCAGTGGCATAGAATCATAAAGGTAGAGTTGGAAAAGACACAGAGGGCTATCAAGTCCAATCACTTGCTGATGTGAGAGGTTCATAATTATAGCATTCCTGATAGACAGTCTCATCGTATCTCTTTAAAAGTTTGCAATACAGAAGAGTCTGTCATTAACAAAATAATCTTTTTCATTACTGTACAGTTCATACTGTCAGGAAATTCTTGATGTTTTGTTGAAATGTCCATTGTTGTACATTGAACTCACCGTTTTGGTCCTTCTTTCTGGAGAAGCTTGTTCC